CATTGCGCGAGCGCCTTGTAGTGACAAGTGCGACTAGATGCACGTCGTGGGGATAGAGCCCACAGGGGGACAGTTTGCCTTCTCCCCTCCGCAGGGGCGTAGCTAGGGGGTCTTCAGGCTGGCAGGAAGAAGCGGTTACGGGCAATCAGGCAGGCGGAGTGGTTTGGGAGCCACCAGTCTCTGAATTGTGAGGCGGATGTCTGAGTGCCAGTTTAAGGCCCACAGGGATAGGGCATCAACTGGCAGTTGGACATCCCCCAAGGGGTCTCAGATTAGAGAGGGTGCAGGCTGGGTTGAGGGACACCCCCTCCAGTGCACAAATTTAGTGCACCAGGCCTCTAGTTTTTAAATAAGCTTCTAACACACTCAAAACCTCTACTGCTGCCCTAGCCTGTTTGGGTCAGTGGACAGAGCGTCGGCCTGCGGACTGAAGGGTCCCAGGTTCGATTCCGGTCAAGGGCACGTACTTCGGTTGCATGCTCCTCCCCAGCCCAGGCCCTGAACAGGGCTCATGCAACAGGCAACCAATCGATGTGTTTCTCTCACATCGATATTTCTCTCTGTCTTTCACTCTCTCTTCCTCTCTCTCTAAAAATCAATAGAAAAATATCCTCGGGTGAGGATTAAAAACAAAACAAAACACCTCTATTGTTAAGGTCTCCATGTAAGACCTAGTTTTGGTAACAGCACATGATTAGAAATTCAAATGGAGAATATGTTAGCATTTTGTTTATTCAATTTTATTTATTTTTTTATTTTTTTATTTTTTTAAATATTTTATTGATTTTTTACAGAGAGGAAGGGAGAGAGATAGAGAGTTAGAAACATTGATGAGAGAGAAACATCGATCAGCTGCCTCCAATATCCTCGGGTGAGGATTAAAAACAAAACAAAACACCTCTATTGTTAAGGTCTCCATGTGGGACCTTTCAGTCCACAGGCCGATGCTCTATCCACTGAGCCAAACCGGTTACGGCTGATTATTCCATTTTAAAAGGTTCCTTGCATGCCCTTTCTGTTCAGAAGCTTTAACATTAATTGGAGCATCTTCAACCTATATAATTTTGTTAACCTGTGTCACCCCAATACATTCAATAAAAAGAAAAGAAAAAGATGCACCATCTTCAGCCAGAGTGTCAGGGAAGCCTGCTAATGAAGGTCACACTGGTGGTGCCTGTGCTCCCTTTCCCATTTAGGAAGGTCACTCTGGAGGCTGCAGGGGAGGCAGGAAGGACAGCCTGGTGAGCTAATGCCAGAACCCCATGTGCTGGTGCAGCCACAGGAAGTGACTGGGGCCTCTGGAAACACAGTCAGGCAAGGTGAGGAGGCCAGGCTCAGAATGTGGCACAGTGGGAAGCAGGCAGGGTTCTAGAAGGCTCAGCACATTCCGGAGATGGCAGATACAGAAGCCGGATGCTGCAAGAGGCCCGTCAGATTCCCAGGGGTAGAAGATGAGAATAGCTGTGGTGGGTCTTGCAGTGAGAAGCCAGGAAAGGCTCAGTGAAGACTAATAAAGGCCTTAGGATTCTGTCTAGTATCTTCTTGGGCCAAAGAAACTGGAGTCAGACTAGTGCAAACATGCCAACCTAAGCAGTGTATACTTTCAGGGTCACAAACAGGCCTGTCCTATCCAGGAAAAGGTGAGAGGCACTCTGCCCAAAGTACTGTCTGCCTCACAAGTACCATCATAGGTAAACCCTGTGGGCTTGGAATTCTAGGTCAAGAACTGGACATAAAAAAGGGGCTTTGTTTTATAGGGAAACAAGCAAGAGGATTATGCCTAGCATTCCTTAGGCCAGCTATGCAAACTGCCACCTGTCAAGAGGAAATGCCATCTCGTGCAGCAGGTGCAGCAGTTATCTGGAACTCAGGGTGAAGAGGCCACCATAGGTGTTTTCATTTTGCTTGGTTCAGGAGCTTCCTTCTGTTTGTATCAAGGAGTGGATACCCAGATTTGGTCAAGGTCTCGCCAGTCTGGCCCATTCCCAACAGTGCCCAGACATCTCTGAGGTCTATCTGACCATCCTAGTCTGGGTGAAAGACTTCCCGTAGCCCTGGAGAAAACAAAGTTCACCTCTTATATCTATCTATAGATACTTCTAAGAGCAGCGCATGTTGGTAAAATGTGTCACTCTGCATTCAAGGCAACATTATAATGAGCCTTGCTAGCTTTTTAAGCACTGAGATTATGTCCTAATCCTTTTATTTCTGTAATACACAACATCATTTTGGGACTGCAATACAGTCCTTTTCTCACTGTAAATAATCCTTTGTTGTAAAAGCAATGAATCAGGGAGCCTGACTCATGAAAAGGAGCAAAAGGAGGCAATATGCTCCCTTGGGACATGAAGTGTTTGTCAGATCCCACCTCCAAGTGAGCCACTAAATCACCGAGGAAAAATACAGTTGACCCTAAACAACTTTGGGGTTAGGGGCATTATAGTAAAAAAAAGTCTGCATATAATTTAAAAAACAATGATTTCAGAGAGAGGAATGAGAGGGAGAGAGATAGACATCAGTGATGAGAGAGAATTACCGATCAGCTGCCTCCTGCATGCCCACAACTGGGGATCAAACCTGCAATCCGGGCATGTGCCCTACCAAGAATCGAACCATGACCTCCTGGATCATAGGCTGACGTTTAAGAACTGAGGCACATGGGCAAGGCTACATATAACTTTCGACTACCCAAAAACTTAACTACTAATAGCCTACTGTTGACCAGAAGCCTTACTGTTAACAGTTAACACATATTTTGTATGTTATATGTATTATATACTGTATTCTTATAAAATAAGCCAGAGAAAATAAAATGTTATTAAAAAATCACAGAGAAAATAAATTTATAGTATTTATTGAAAAATATCTGCATATAAGCAGATCTGCACAGTTAAAACCTGTATTGTTCACAAGTCAACTGACCTTGCCTTTTATCTCCCCCCACCGGGCCCCCATGCAGCCCATGCCCATGGTGAGCCAGGTCAGACTAGTCCACAGGGTTCCCTGGGCCCAGTTGCAAGGGGAAGATATTTATCAAGGTACTGTCACTGCACAAGCCCCCTGGAGTTTAGAAAACAGCATATGTGGATCTAAGATCGACTGCCCATATCTGATCACATCCCTAGCTTTATACAAGCACAGAATTTGACACAGGTTGCCTTTGAACACTGAATTAGGAGACAGTGATATTGAAATATTCCTACTAAGTGCCAGAGAGAATGCAATCTGTCCTGAATATTGCTCAGTTTCATGAACAGTGAATACAAGGGACTTGCCCTTTGCCAGGGCAGCCCAACCATCTGTGCTTTATGTGCAAAAAAAGCAGAGGGGCACTGAGGGAGAAAGTGTCAAGGAGTCAAGGACACTAGGGTGGCAATAATGTGGTGGACAGGAGCTGACTACAGCCCACACCCGTGGCTTTGATGCTGACTACCAAACATGTATCTGAGGACCAGACAGCTCTCCTTGGTTATCTTCCAGTCCTTTGTTTTTTTCCTGTGCTTTCTATTTCAAGGACAGGCACTACCAACCTTCCTAATCTCTCAAGCTAGAAACCTAGCAGTCATCCAAGATATCTCCTTTTTCTAACTCATGTCCCATATGTAACCTATCATCATATCCCACTGACCCAACCTCCATAAAATCTCCTTAATCTCTACCTGTGGTAGATACTATGGGTATCTATCTCCATTCCACTCAGCTTCTGGGGTGCAATGCCTGTAAAGCCACAGGGACCTCTGAAGGCGGGACTTGAGACTCCTGGTGCAGCAGTCCAACGCACATTCCTCCCTCCAGTGACCCGGCCTCCTGCCCTGTGCAGCACCCAGCTCAGCTGCTTCCCAGGACAACATCTCTGGATCTCTGGTATGCTCTGCTGTCTCCGCTCCCTGTGGACTGGCAGGGGCTCAGCAGGGCAAAACTCTGCTGGCACACCGAGTTATTTCTTTGTCTGATATCTACTTGCTGGGCTGACTCAGGAAGCCCAGAGCCCAGGTCTTCTGACAACAATGAGCATTTTATCACCACTACAGGAAACTTAGAATTTATTCTTGGTCTCCAGGCACCATAGCTAATATGACTAAAAAGTGCTGCTTCTAGGGTTCCAGACAGTAAGACAATGCAAAGTTGAGTGTAACCTACAGGATGGGTGGATTTTTCTAAATGCTACCAAGGAGGTATGGAAAATTTCATTGTATGTAGGGGGAATATTAAGGGAGAAGGTTCTATTGGGCTATACTCTGCACTCATGGGACAGGAGAAATGCAAGATCTTGATGTTCCAGAGGCTAGGAATACCTATTCAGTCCACTGATATTAGTTGGAAGGCAAGGGCAGATTTAAACCCAGCTCAGGAGAGGTGTTGCCATGGCAATTTGTCATCACTAAGAAACAAACTCTGGAAGAAATCTGCCTATCAAATATAAAAATAAAAGATGTCAAAGTTTTCCCTGTACCAATTTATTTGTTTTAGATTTTAGAATGGTAAGTAGGAGCATGAAGAAAAGTCTGTTGCATCTAAACAGAATCTGAAAGTCATGCAAACACGAGTAAAGCCCATTGCTTACCTTGTGAACACTGGTCAAGACATTTTGGAAAGAGAAATCTAGGGAGGAAAAATAAATATTTTAAAACCATAAAGTCACAGTTGTCATTATTTCCCACAAAAATGAGCATATCACTGATACCTAAGATGATTTACTCGAGGGGCAAGTGGCAGGCAGCACTGAGCATTAGGATAGCCATGGCTATGCAAGAAGTTTTCACAGCTTTGAACCAAAACAGAGTTCCTTAAGCCAGGAAAAGTCCCTACATGGCCAACCCTTGGAATGCTTAAGAGGGGATACCTGGGCATGGCCAGTCTCTAGACTATAGGAACAAAAAGAGAGCTGGCTTTTTTTTTTTTTTTAGAGATACTGTCTTCATAAAGGGGAAATTCAAGGGAAAATGAGAAAAATTACATTCACCTAACTCTAACAGGGGCTTTCAGTACCAAGTTGCCATGTTTCCCTTCATGTGCGCACTAGAATCCTGCTTCCCCTTTAATCCCATTCTGACCTCTAACAGTGAATGAAAAACAGCAAACTGACTGGATCACAACTGAAGCAGGTGAGGGTGACTGATCCAAAGTGTGAGTTAGTTAAGAACTGGAGCTCTGTAGGAAGCCCCAGAGAAAATTCCATACTCTCAGTGCTTTAAAACTCCTAAAACATCATAGTGCTCTTCTCAGGGAAGAACAGTAACACTAATGAGAATAGCTCCTTTTATCTTACTGTGGGGCTGGGCGCTATGCATGCAGTTCACATATACAATCTTGTTCTGTCTTTACTTCCACCCCATTAAAAGCTGAGAAGAATGAGTGTAGGATGACTAAGCAGTCTAAGCACTTTGCCCAAGGCTGCACATGAAGCCAGGAAGTGGGAGGGCTGATGCAGGGCCCAGGTCTGCTTGGCACCACAGAGCTTCTGTTTCCTTTCCCTGAAAGTAGGATGCTTACTGAAGCCACACTTCTGAACTGTTTCTGGTCTATGTGGCAGGTATTAATGCTATTCAAAACACCGGGGGGATTTCCCTTGGTGGTGGCAAGTCTTCATTCTTCTATTTGATTTCTAAAAACAGCCAGGCACACATCACTTGGAACCAAATTTGGTGGGTGAATGAGCTGGATGAATACCACTTCTTGGGTTGCTCTTGCCTGGCTGCCTCATGGTTTCTGAAGAATTCCAAGGAGGAACCCCCTATGTGCTCTGAGCAAGGTCAAGAGCCTTGGAACATCCACACCAGAGTCTTTCAAGAACAAAACTCACTGACTTCCCTGCACTCACTGATCACTGAACACCCTCCTCCCCTACAGCAAATATATTGTTAGAAAGTGTCTGTCCCCATCAAGTGCTTGTGACTGAGAGTCCATGCCCTGAAAAGCCCTTCTTAGCATCCTGCTTGCTTCTCACAGCCAGGCATTTTAGATAAGGTTGATCAGAGTTCCCCCTTAAGGGATCTGAGAAGGCCTGAGGTCATCAAGCTGCTCCCTTTAAGCATCTGCAAAGAAAATATTCAGAACGCACGGACTTGCACCAGACATATAGACCAATGGAACAGAACAGAGAACCCAGAAATCGACCCAAGCCATTATGCTCAATTAATATTTGACAAAGGAGGCAAGAGCATACAATAGAGTCAAGACAGTCTCTTCAATAAATGGTGTTGGGAAAATTGGACAAATACATGCAAAAAAATGAAACTAGACCACCAACTTATACCATAAATGGATAAAGAACTTCAACGTGAGACAGGAAACCATAAAAACACAAAATGGATAAGGGACTTAAATGTAAGACAAGAAACCATAAAAATTTTAGAAGAATCCATAGGCAGCAAGATATCAGACATATGTCGTAGCAATATCTTTACGATACAGCTCCTAGGACAATGGAAACTAAGGAGAAAATAAACAAATGGGATTGCATCAAAATAAAAACCTTCTGAACAGCAAAAGAAACCATTAACAAAACAACAAGAAAGCCACTGCATGGGAGAACATATTTGCCAATGTTATAGCCAATAAGGGCCTAATCTCCAAAATTTATAGGGAATTCATACATCTTAACAAAAGGAAGATGGAAATCCAATAAAAAAATGGGCAAAGGACTTAAATAGACACTTTTTGAAAGTGGATATATAGAAGGCCAAGAAACATATGAAAACATGCTCAAAGTCACTAAGTCATCTGAGAGATGCAAATCAAAACGTCAATGAGGTATCTGTCAGAATGGCTATCATCAACAAATTGACAAGCGACAAGTGCTGGATAGGATGTAGAGAAAAAGGAACCCTCGTGCACTGCTGGCGGGAATGCAGACTAGTGCAGCCACTGTGGAAAACAGTACAGTTTCTTCAAAAAATTAAAAATGGAACTCCCATTCAACCCAGTAATCCCACTTCTAGGAATATATCCCAAGAAATCAGAAAGGACATATGCACCCCTATGTTCATAGCAGCACAATATACAATAGCTAAGATTTGGAAATAGCCTAAGTGCCCATCAGCAGATGAGTGGATTAAAAAACTGTGGTACATCTACACAATGGAATACTACACTACAGTAAAAAAGAAGGAACTCTTACTATTCATAACAGCATGGATGGACATGGAGAGCATTATGCTAAGCGAAATAAGCCAGTTGGAGAAAGATAAACATCACATGATCTCACTCATTTGTGGAATATAATGAACAACATAAACCAATGAACAAAAATAATCCAGAGACAGAGAAGCATCGAACAGACCGTCAAACTTTAGAGGAAAGGCAGGGGAGGGGGGTAAGAGATCAACCAAAGGACTTGTATGCATGAATATAAGCATAACCAATGGACACTAGGGGGGTGAGAGCATGTGCTGGCGGTTGGGGAGGCCAGGGAGAGGTCAATGGGGGAAAAAGGAGACATATGTAATACTATATGTAATACTTTAAACAATGAAGAATTAAAAAAGATCAGAAAGGAATTCACAAATATTATAATAGTTACATTGAATTAGTGAGATTATGGACGAATTATTACCCAATTTTCTTTGCTGTTCTTTTAAAAAAATATATTTTATTGATTTTTTTACAGAGAGGAAAGGAGAGGAATAGAGAGTTAGAAACATCGATGAGAGAGAAACATCGATCAGCTGCCTCCTGCACACTCCCTGCTGGGGATGTGCCCGCAACCAAGGTACATGCCCTTGACTGGAATTGAACCTGGACCCTTGAGTCCGCAGGCTGATGCTCTATTCACTGAGCCAAAGCGGTTAGGGCTGCTGTTCTTATATTACTTCCAAAGTTAGAAAAAAAGTTCCCCTGTTAGCAGTGAGAATGAGTGTCATTAACAAGGTAAAATGGCTTTAAGATGGCTTCACCATATGAAAAAGTATCTTTGAGAAACTCCAAGTGCCTTGGGACACAGGCCCCTCCTATGCAGTAAAGACAGAAGGAAAGACTGCCCTGGGCATTTCTTTCTTGGAGATGCTGCTCCCAGTTTCACTGCCTCTTCAGCACACAAAAAACAGTGGGGAGAGGCTGCCAGTCCAAAGGGGTCTTCTGAGAACCGGGCACTAATCCAGTAACAACTGAGCATTTATTGTATATAAGGTAGACTGATGTGTTCCAAAAGACAAACACATAAAGATGTGTCTCCTTCTAGTGTGTTGCTTTCTGTACACTAAACACACCATGTCCTGTGGGCTGGAGGTGATCTTAGGAGTGTACCTGTGCTCCATGTAGCAGCTCAGGGGCTCCACACACACTGTGATGGCACCAATGGTGAAGGAAGACTTGACATTTGAGTCTGGATGGGTCTGCAGGGCCTGGACAACATCAATAACATCTGTGTAGCTGAGGAGAAAAAGGGAATGGTTAGTTTACTGATTGGGGTGGCAGAGTGGGGTGTGGGAAAAAGGAGAATGCCGAATGGCTTGAGCAAGAGTGGAAGGAGGACTAAGAGGAGTAGCCTATGATTGGGTTCTTGGAGTCACCCCACTTTATTATTTGGAGCCACTGGAATCCACAGTGTTTCTGCATTCTCAAGTTCCATTAGTCCTCATAACTGTGCAAGAGTGGGTAGAATTCAATCCCCAAACCCCAGGGTAAAGGTAAGTCTGCACAGGTGCCTATGGGGCTCTGAGAGTGGGACTCGGTGTTCTTAGGCCTGTTTTCTGATCAAGTTAGGAGCTCCTGCATTGGTCTACTTTTCTTAAAATAGCTCTTTCCTCTCCTACTACCTCACAGAACATGTAGGCAAGAGAGAAAAGGGGGTTCATCAGGTACGTTTCCAGGTTGGGAGAGACATGTCAAATACCCTTGCATTTGTATCTCCTGCCTGGAACTCCCTCCAAACTCCAGATGTGCAGAGTCAAACTGACATTTTCACTTAGAACTTAATATGTTCATGACCCAATTCCCCCACACCTGCTCCTCCCAAGGCCTGCCCTTCTCAGCAGAGGAGACCACTCCTTCAGCTGCTGGGCCAAAAGATTTGTCTAGAGTCATCTTGACTCCATTTTTTCTCAATCTTACTGGCTGGCTCCTGCAAGCCCCCTACTGGGGATCGAGTCCAAAACCCGGGCATGTGCCCTTGACCGGAATTGAACCCAGGACCTTTCATTCCACAGGCCGATGCTCTATCCACTGAGCCAAACCAGCTAGGGCAATTTTTTCTCACTCTTCAGAACATAACTAGAATGACATTACTGCTCATATTACCACGCTACTACTGGGTCCAAACACTATCATCTCTTGCCTAGATCACCCCCACAGCTACTTCAATGGCCTCCTGCTTCTGTCCTTGCCTCTCTCTAAACTGTCTTCAACACAGAAACCAGGGAGATAGTACTAATCTCATCGTGCTAAGCTACTGAGTGAGTTGCTTCCATCCCACTCAATGTGAAAGCCAAAGCTCTTACAATGGCCCAATAGCCCTCTAAGACCTGTCCCCCACACTGCATAAAAGAGTTTCATCTACTATTCCTTCCCTTACCTGAATCAGCAACTTTGGCCTCCTGGCTCTTCCCTGAATATTCCAGGCATACTTCCACCATGCACTCACTGTCCCCTCTCATGTGATGTGCTTTGCTCAGATGCCTGCAGGGCTTACTCTCACTCTCTGGTGAGGGAGGTGCCCTCTGACTTTATACAGCCTATGTGATAACAGCAACCCCCTCTCTGGCACAACCTGCTCCTGCTCCAATTCTTCTCCAAAGCACTGAACATCAGCTACATACTCTGTATTTTCTTAGTTATTTATAGTCTGTCTCTGCAATTAAGATGGAAGGTGGTTGTTGAGTGCTGTAATCTATGGTGTCTAAAGCAGGGTAGATGAATGAGTGGACATTCAACCCCACATAGAAACATGGCCACTACAAGAGGGAACCTGCCCTCTTCACTTTGTGGAGAACATTTCCTGACTGGCCCAGCCTATGACTAAAAGGTCAGTTTCAATGGAGGGAAGGCAAAGCTGATGGGCAGGTTGCTGATCACATGGGCCTGGGTCTTATCCTGGGCCCTTGGGAGGGCAGTTGTGGTGGCTGGCAGGATAGGTACAGCCTGCCTGAGCCATTTTCTGAGTCACTACAAACATCTGTAAAACGACACTTGGCTCTATCCCAGATTACAATTGTAGCACTCCCCCCAGGTCTGCCTCAGTCCCTACAAACCAGCAGTGCTTTAGTAAAGAACAGGGTGTGCTAGCTTCTAGAATTCCCCAATGAGGGCCTGGTAGCCAGAGAGCCTTTAGAGTGAGCCCTCTGATCATCAGCTTTTCTTTTTCTTTCTTTAAACAATTTTTTAAAAATATGTTTTTATTGGTTTCAGAGAGGAAGGGAGAAGGAGAAAGAGAAACATCAACAATGAGAATCATTGATCAGCTGCCTCCTGCACGCCCCCTACAGGGGATCGAGCCCACACAATTGAACCGTGACCTCCTGGTTCATAGGTCAATGCTCAACCACTGAGCCATATTGGCTGGGCTGTACTATGATTTTTTAAAAAGATTTTAAATTGATTTTTAGAGAGAGAAGGAGAGCGAGAGAGAAACACTGATGTGAGAGTGAAATATCTATCAGCTACCCCTGCTGGTCCCCTACCAGGATTGAGCCTACAACCTAGGCATGTACCTTGACCAGGAATTGAATTGGCGACCTCCTAGTGCATGGGACAATGCTCAACCAACTGAGCCACACTGGCTGGGCTGCTCACAGACTTTTCATTTTTAATTTTTAGGAGAAAAGAAGAAGGGAGGGTGGGAGGGGGGAGAGACAGAGAGAGAGGAAGAGAGAAGAGAGAAGGTGATGGGAGGAGAGAGAAGAGGAGAGGAGTCATTCCACTTATTTATGCATTCATTTATTGATTCTTGTATGTGCTCTCACCGGGGATTGAACCCGCAACCTTGGTGTATCGGGACGGTGCTTTAACCAACTGAGCTACCTAGTCATGGCTCACTGGCTTTTTTTGAAGGTTTCTCCCCCTGCCTGTGTACAACAATGTGGAGTTCTCTCCACAGGTTCTGCAGTGTCTGAGTGGGCCTAGATGCCAGGAGAGACCCCCACATTGCCCACACTGCCAGGTCCTTACGTACATGTGGTAAGCAGGACTGATGCTTGCACACTGCCTCAAATCTCTTTGTGGTCATGTTTAATACATATAACTCCCATGGTTAAGTGTCCCATCCTTGCTCCTTAGCATGAGCTTTTCCCTGATTCTAAAAGAGTCTTCGGAGCTTTTTAAATTTCCATATTTGGTATGAGCCTATAGAGACTCTCCTTTCTTTTTGAAAAAAATATATTTTTATTGATTTCAGAGAGGAAGGGAAAGGGAGAGAAACATCAATGATGAGAATCATTGATTGCCTGTCTTCTGCATGCCCCCTACTGGGGATAGAGCCTGCAACCTGGGCATGTACCCTTGACGGGAATTGAACCTGAGACCCTTCAGTCTTCAGGTCGGCACTCTATCCACTCAGCCAAGCCAGCTAGGGCAAGGCTTCTCATTTCTTGGGTAAAAAAGAACTGAAAAAGATTTACAGCTGTGGCTGGTGTGGCTCAGTTGGTTGGGTGTTGTCCCATGCACAGAAAGGTTGCTGGTTCGATTCCAGGTCAGGGCACAAGTGGGCTAGAGGCAATGCCGGAGGCAGCTGATGGATGTTTCTCTCTCACTTCTGTTTCTCTTTCCCTCTCTCCTTCTTCCTTCCCCTCTCTCTAAGAATCAATGAACTATTAAAAAAAAAAAGATTTACAAGCCAGTCCTGCAGATTTTGGTCATTCTAACACAATAGGTTTACCCTTAGAGAAGGTGACTGGGGAATTGCCAGGTTTTCAGAGCATTCCATTAATTTTCATTTATTTGAATGAAAAAGCTTAGAGTGGAAACAGGCCCCAGGCTCCTTGGTGAGGCTAGTGCAGGGATGGCGAACCTTTTGAGCTCGGCGTGTCAGCATTTTGAAAAACCCTAACTTAACTCTGGTGCCGTATCACATATAGAAATTTTTTGATATTTGCAACCATAGTAAAACAAAGATTTATATTTTTGATATGTATTTTATATATTTAAATGCAATTTAACAAAGAAAAATCAACCAAAATAATGATGCACTAGTGCATCTACATGATGCATCTGTTCGCCATCACTGGCGCTAGTGTGGCAAGAGAGGAAGCCCTAAGTGTCATTCACTCTACTTACTGAGGGGTCCTGCTAGACCAGTGATGGCGAACCTATGACACGCGTGTCAGAGGTGACACGCGAACTCATTTTTTTGGTTGATTTTTCTTTGTTAAATGGCATTTAAATATATAAAATAAATATCAAAAATATAAGTCTTTGTTTTACTATGGTTGCAAATATCAAAAAATTTCTATATGTGACACGGCACCAGAGTTAAGTTAGGGTTTTTCAAAATGCTGACACGCCGAGCTCAAAAGGTTCGCCATCACTGTGCTAGACCCTTCCTCTCCCCCCAGCCCCTGCCTTACAGCAATCACACTGGGCGTGGCCTCCAAACAGAAGGAGGCAGTCCTCACCACCGAAGGAACAGGCCACTTCAGCTGTCAGACTGCTTTGGCTACTTTGGCTAAACTGCCTGAATGCATGATGAAGGCAATAAACTGGTTCTTCATGTTTGCCTCTTTTTTGTCTGTACTCTCTTTATTAAAAATAACCAAAACCCAAACAAAACCCCAGCAGGACTTGAACTTTCTTTCTTCTGAAATAACAGATATCCCATTCAAGTGTCCTTTGGGCTCTGTTTTATGTTTGCAATTTAAGCCTAGAATTTGGGAACATGTTTTACATTAATTCAATGTTTAAAAATATATATATATTTTTATTGATTTCAGAGAGGAAGGGAGAGGGAGAGATAGAAACATCAATGATGAGAGATAATCATTGATTGGCTGCCTCCTGCACGCCCCCTACTGGGGATTGAGCCTGCAACTTGGGCGTGTGCTCTGACTAGGAATCTAACCGTGACCTCCTGGTTCATCTCAACCACCGAGCCACATCGACTGGGCACATTAATTCAATTTTTGTTTTTAGAGAGATACTTAGTTTTATTTTATTATTTATTTATTTATTTTTGAGATACTTCGTTTTAAATGTAGATAATTGAAAGAATGATTTTATAACCTTCCAAAGTATAAACCAATTCCTTAAAATTAACTTTTAAAATTCAGATTTATCCAGTTTTACTTATTTGTGTGTTATATGTATGTAGTTCTATAGAATTCTGTCGTCTGTGTAGGTTCCTATATTCATGACCATAGTCAAGATACTGAACAGCTTCACCACCATAAGGATCCGTTTTATAACCACACACACCTCCCTTCTGTCCCCCACTCTCATCTCTAACTCCTGACAACCACTGTTCTGTCCTCCATTAAAAATTTCATAATTTCAAAATACACTAATTTTTACAGTAACAACTAATAGCTTCACTTGATGTCAGGCTCAACACCACTGCCCCCACTGCTGCAGTAAGTCAAATGGAACCAGGCCACTCTAGGGGCAAAATAAAACTCAGCCCCAACCACAGGTTTCCCCCAAAGAATCCTATAAATGAAGAGTAAAGTAACATTAAAGGAATACATTCTCAATTTGAGAAGCCTCTGGGGTCACCCTTCACCAGCAATCTCAATACTGGGCTCGGAGGTCCAGCCCCAAGAAGATGGACATTCACAAAGGAGGCTGCCACAAGTTCCCTGCTGAGCCTCAAGAGAATAGGCCCAGCCTGTAAGGACAGTGTCTTCGTGAGAGCCACAGCATTTAGCTGGCATCCTGGCTTGAGTCTGTTAAGAAATCTGAGGTCCCTAGCATCCCAGGGCTGTGACTGGGCAAAGGCTGTGTCTGAGAGGACAAGAATGGGCTGGCCATACACTGTCACTGCAGTCCAGAGCAGCCAGCATAGCTGACACTTTAGCAGACTTGCACAATCAGAGACAAGGAATCAACGATGGTCTATCAAGTGACAGAAGATGGAAAATTACCTCAGCCGCACAATGTTAAATTGACAAATTTGACTCCAGGTCCATACCCCCACTGACTCTCAACTCTGACAGGGGCCAATCTATTATTTTGACCATTATAAGCGATGGAAAAAAACAAAAGAAAACAAGTGGTTTCAACTCAGACACTTGCTCTGTGGCTTCCACAACCTCAGCCCACAAAGGGGCTGACAGAAGGGAAGCCCAGGGCAGGGTGAGAACAGGCATGAGGAAGAGAATGATGCCTGGTGGGGTGCACAGCCTTGTCCATTTCCTGCTCAGGACCACTGACCTGGCTTTCCTCCAACTCTCACCATTATCTGGGCCTATTCTTTACTGGAAACAATCAGCCAATTGCAAATCATTATTATTACAAGCACAAAAACCAGTATAGCACAAAAGCAGTTTATGAGAACTGCCACAGAGTCTTTATCACCAACCACAGTGACACCAGTGAAGAGCAGGGCCTGCATTTTGGCACAGTCTCCTCTAAGGGGGTGATAGACCTGCACGGGGCTCCTTCCTGGGTGGGCTTACAAGAGGTCAAGGGAAGCTCCTTGTAGCCAGGGTGCTGGGAGCAGTGGTACACAGTCAAACCTGTCCTCTCAGGGAGCTCCTTGTTCAGCTGGACTAATCAAGCTCTTCACCGAGAGTCTCAGGAAACCCTACTGGACCAGCCATCCTCAGGATGGTGGGGCTGGAGACTGCAGAGTGTGGGGGCTGTCTCTGCAACTCCATATGAGGGAGGGCTGAAACAGGTGAAGCTCCCTTGCCTAAAGAGAGCTTAGGGATCACTATTGTTATAAGAATTATCAAAGAAACTTACCTAGAAAACCTCCCTAATTCCCACCTTTTGGCGATATTATGATGTTAAAGTCAAACCTAAAACTTGTGTGCAAGCTACACCAGCTACTCCAGGCCACAGGATGGCAACAGGAGTCCTTGCTCATTAAGGCCTCTCTATGTAGTGCAGACCCTGCTCATACACATGTGGAGTTTGTTCTGTGCCCCAGGTGAGCTACACATTAAGTAACAGCAGCGACAATGCCACCACCCTACCCCACTGTCCCCAGACTCCCAGTGCTCACCCTTGTAACACCACCAACAATCTGGTCTTCTTGCGGATGTAGGCTGACTGGCGGGCAGAGCGGTTCCGCTGGGCCTCCAGGGCACTGGAAAGGTACTTCTGGAAGTGGGCAGCATGAAAACACTCAGAGCTGTCCATGACTTGGCGGTACACCATCCACCTGGAAATGGCAAGTGTGATCTCACTGTGGGTGCCACCTGAAGGCCTGGCCCGGCAGCTCAGTTGTGGATTCAAATGTCAGACATTCTGCCCAGTGAATCCATCAGTACAGGAGAGAGCAATCCTGGCACCACAGAAACAGGCAGAGGGTACTGCCTGGGTTTGGAGCCCCCTATCTTGACACCACTGCCACTGGAGCTTATGACAGGAAACTCCTTGCCACAGGGAAAAAGGCCAATAGGCTTCAGAGCTGAGAAAGACTCCTGACCAGGCAGTCACTTCCTGAAGGACCATTCAATACAATGCTTCAGTCTGGTGCTCAATAAAATGCTTGCTGAGAATAAGAAATGTGCAGAGTGAAGAATTTAGACTGATTGCAGAACAAAAGCAATGGAAATGAGGGAGAAACTGGTTAACTACTTAGTACTTATATAAAGGAGGTCCAATATCTCCCTCACATCTCTCTAAAACTTGTCTCTCCAGCCTCCACAACCTCCCACCCAAAACTCCCAAACCTCTGGGCCACTGCAGTCTTCTCAATCCCTCCAGCCTCCAGCAGGATGCCTTACTTTGAAGTAGACTGACTAGATACTAAATGCCTGGTTCAGTGAGCAAGGGTTGTTTAGTAACCTGCCAGCCAGGTGGAAGTGATGGATGAATTGTTCCCCAATTTCACCTGAGCCAACATGTCCCAGCTGCACCTGAACTCACGCAGTCCCAAGTTCTAACCACCCTGGCCCTGAATCGCCCTGCTGACAAGGCACACTCCCAGGCCTTCGCCTGCGCTGGTCCGGCTGTTACAGTGCTCTTCCAGATACCCAGGGGTTCATTCCCTCACTCACTCAGGCCTTTGCTCGAATGTCACCTTCTTAGTGAGGTCTCCCCTTTAAAGCTGGAATCCCTGCTCCCACCCCCAACCTCCCAGCCCAGTAATCCCTATAGCCTTCTCTGCTTTATTTTCTCCATCGTACTTTTCACTACACGATTTTCCTTATCTGGTTAATTGTCTTTCCACACGAGAATGTAAGCTCCATGAGGGCAGAGATTTTCGTGTCTGTTTTGTTCATTTGTCCTCCACACTTAGAGCAGTGCCTGGCATACAGAAAGTGCTCAGTACAAATGTGTCAAATGAATGGATGGGTGATGACTACTGTGCTGATACCAGTTACACCAAAGGTCAGTACATGTCCAAGGTTTCCCTTTCCCCAAAGCAAAGGCGGCAGCCATACTAACCTGCCATATTCCTTATGCAGAGTGACCAGAAAAGCACAGAGCTCGCTAGCATGACATCCCGGGAGGCCAGTTACAATGCTGATAATGACCTACATGAAAGAAAAGCCATGTGGGTTTGTGATTCATTTGGGAGGCAGCATTGTGTGAGAGAACAGACTGCTGGAGCCAGGTTCTGTGAGTTTGAACTTCAGCACCAGCACTCACTAGCTTTGTGATGACCTTGGGCTAACAATAGAACCTACCTTTCGAGGTAGGTGTGATGATTAGAGTTAATATATGTAAAGTGTTTAGAACATTGTCTGGCACATAGCAAACACTTTTTAAATTTTGTATTAGTATTATAATTTCCATAGAGCACACTGTGACTAGATCAATTAAAATACAATAGAAAATACTAGGCAGAAAGGAGGTCTGGAACCAAAATGCCATAGGCTCAACTGGCACAGTAACCTCAGCCAAGGAGACCAGTGGCACTGTAGATGTTTTTGTCTGGTTGCCCTGCCCTCAAGCTGCATAGCCTGAGCTGAGGAAACAAACTGGTGTAGGAAGCATTTTTGAGTCTTTTTTTTCTCTGAGGTTTTTGGTGTTTTTGTTTTTTTTTTAACATATATTTTACCCTAATAAAAATGATTAGTGGGGCGAGGTCCTGAGTGCTGCAAGGAGAATACATTGTAGGATGTTAGGCATTAAAAACTGGCTGGGGATGCAGGTGTCAGCTTCTTCTTACAACTCAGCTCAGAGCCGATTCCACTTCTCTTTGCTCTGCTCAGACTGACCTCTGGAGAGCAAAATGTCCACATGTAGGGTTTTGTGAAATGTTTGCACATTAAAGTTGCCCAGCATGAGGAGCTGAATTCCCTGAAGCAGAGGCTGGTGGTGGCCTTTTGTCCTTTGAATTTTGATGGTGAGAAGAAAACCCAGGCTGGACTGTCCCAACTTTAATACACAGCCATAAGAAAACAGGGCCCTCTGCAGGCAGACATTGTAAAGCAACTCAAAGAAATTCACTAACAAAGGGTCAAGCAGGGGAGGAAAGGGAAAAGTGACATAGTGTGGCAAGGGCCTCTTTAAGTATGTGCTTTATCACAATACAAAAGACTCACTTGGACAGGCCTGGTCACAAATAACTTACACTAAAGCTCAGCGCGGTGACACTCACTGGTCAGCAGAGAGATGGCAATGGATCCCTCCTCTTTTTGGGAAGCAAAAGCTCTACCACCTCCCCTCTGACCAGGCCCCTACTTTGTATTCCTCTCTGCCCCTGTGGGGAGTATTCCATGTAACTGACTTTTTGTTTATCCTCCTCCCATCCAAATTTCCTTTTCTCAGTGCCCAGGCCTCAGCCTCTCAAATCACAGCACACATGCTTATAGCCAGACACCTTCTTATTTTAAGGACAGTCCTACGGCACCTTTTAAAATATTTTTTACTGATTTTTAGAGAGAGAGAGAAATATTGTTGTTCCATTTATTTATGCATTCATTGGTTTCTTCTTGTATGTGCCCTGACCGGGGATCAAACCCGCAACCTTGGTGTATCCAGACAACACTAATCAACTAAGTACCCGGCCAGGGCCTACAGCACCTTTTAACAAACTATAACAAGTAGGCAATTTCATTTTAAAACTCTTGCCTAAGGGAAAAACGAGGCTTCTAATTGCTTACTGGTTCTATTTTCTTTTATAGCTGAGTGTCTTCTAGATTTTCACAGAAATAAATGCCCTCTTTGAGCATAAAAAGACATATGGCTCCAAAGAAATGGTGGGAGGGGTTAAGAGGAAGGGTGTGTGAGTGGGAGCAGATTAAAATCCACTCTGTGATGTTTATACAGTATCACCTTACCTTGGTGATGCCAGCAAGGCCCAACTAACAAGGCCCATCCCATCATTAAGCTCAATGTGTCACCCACTTCCAGGTAAGTCCTTGTCACAACCAGAAAGAGCTGACAGCATGAGAGCACTGAGCAAGAGTTTGAAAAGCCTGGAGAAGGAAGGGGAGGGCCCGGCAGGGTGCCAGAGTTTCATTGCTGCCATAGGCTTGGCTGGGGTTAATGCAGACGCCTGTACACATTGCATAGAGCAGGTTTCATGTGCATCATTACATCAGTGTCCAAAGAGGGGGAGAGGCCTATAAAAGGGACTCCACCTGAGCTACTCTTGTTAACTGTTACAGAAGATCAAGGCCAGGCTATCGGGGTTCTCTTCCCATGAACTCCCAGCAGATTTGGTGAGCTGCTGTACCTTGTCATTTTCTACTCGGTGAGTAGGGCTGATTTCAGTTTGCTGCAGCAGGACAGGGAGATGGGCCCTCATCACAGGCTCCTGACTAACGCTGCTGATGGCGAAATGCTGGAGAAACCTAGAAAAGCAAGAGAATGCTCTTGTGTTAGCATCACCAGCCTTGCCTACTGTGCCCATCCACATGAGAAACTCCTTATTTAATTGATGAAAAAGAAACCTTAGAGATTCTCTCTAAAGAATAACATTGGATATGGTGTGTCACTACTAACTTTTATGATCCCTAAGAAGCTATGAAGAAAAAAGCTTAGAAAGGACCAACACTGAGGTTTCTGACATTTCAAAGCCAGAATATTAAACATCTATAAACAGAAAATCAGAGCTTACCAGTCCAGCTCTGGGAGTTTGGCGGAGAGCAGCTTTAGAGGACTTCGTTTCTCCCTGGCAGCATGGCTCAGGACATTGAAGAGCTTCTGTGCACTGGAGTGTCTAGAATATCAAAAGCGCACAGATTAGCCCAGTTGGTGTGGCTCAGTGGTTGAGCATCGACCTCTGAATCAGAAGGTCATGGTTCGATTCCCAGTCAGGTTTCAGGCTTAATACCCAGTGTGGGGCATGCAGGAGGCAGCCGATCAATGATTCTCTCTCATCATTGCTGTTTCTCTCTCTCTCTCCTCCCTTCCTCTTTGAAATCAATAACAATATATTAATCCCTATGATGCACATACTTTACATAACTTGTTCTGATGCTTTCAAGCCAGAGTCCTGTGACAGAGTCAACACTTCCAAAACAAGCATCTTGCCGACTTAAATAAAATGCGACTGGTGTGGTCGCATAGGAAGGCTGGCCTGAAACCCCTGGTAATACAATGGGTTTCTGATTCTTGGTGGATTTCATCTTTCTTGACTTTTATTTCCCCAAGGGCTCTTGCTACCTGCAAGTTGGCAGCACTGAAGTGACTGTGTCGGCCCTTTTAGAAGCCAAGACCCCTGTGTTACATAATGCAAGTCATCCTGCAGAGAGAACAGACGTGCACGACTTAGGAAGCAAGCATAAACACTGAAGGCAGCCACTTACAATCTCTTTTGTTCCACAGATAATCCATCTTCCTGGATCACTTTTAAAGACAGCCCTGAGTTAGCCTGCTGTTGCCAGAGGGAGAAGACCTAAACAAAACAGAATTTGAGCAAAGAACACTTGAAACCCAACAACAGGATATGGAACCCACATGGGGATTTGATAGTTGTTGAAAATCTAGGCTGTCAGTACGAAGACAGACCATCATAACAAACAAGTTTGTTTCAAAAATAGAGACCTGAAGCAATTTTGTTCTGTATTTTTCAAAACTAGAATTTCTTTCTGGGTTCCTCTCCCAGGGATTCTGCTCCTTCAGAGGCCAGGAAGCACAAAAGAAGGTGCTGGATAACACGTTCTGGCAGAAGTGGCATGTCCTTCCCTGGTGATAGGGCCAGACAGGAGTGGTTCAAGCAACTCCTGTCTGGAGGCAGAGGGATGGCTGAAGAGAATCTAAAGGGCTGCTGCCATGTTCCAGGTTGAAAGGACAAGCACAAGGAGGTAGGAAGGACCAGCAGGCAGTCAGAGGGAGACACACACTGGCCTGAGACGCCATCTGCAGCTAAGGTCAGCTCTTGTTTCCTCCATGTTCTGCGAATCTGTCCTGAGGGAGAGACACTGTCCTCTCATAAGCTGCTCCAATCACACCTTTTCAAGCATTTCCACCATCATAAGGCTGGCCATCTGTTTGACTTTGACTATTTCTTGGTCTCTAAGTGGGTTGTATAATTCTCAGTAAGCTCCCTCACTCATGCAATCTGTGCTGAGTGCCTATAATATGCAGCCTGTCAGGTGGAACCATTCACAAGGGCAGGGCTCTGAACCACGGAGAGGGAGAACTTGGGGTGGGGCAGAGAGCTCTAATCCAGTAGGTAGGGCCCAACAATTCAACCAAGTAGCTAAAGGGAAAATAAGTCTAATTAGGATTTAAAGGGACAGGAAGATTTTTCTTAGAAGCTAAAAAGCCTTTTGCTCAGTTCCTTTAAGTTCTCAACTCTCAATGTCAAGGCACCACTCCAGAACCCAAAGGGATTAGAAGCAGCCACCCGACCTGCCTTCCCAACACTCCCTCTCATCACTTCACTGAGATGCTGCCTTACCACCTAAACTGCTAGGGGGAAGAATAGTAGTTTTGCTCACTAATGATTGATGTTACCTCTGGGTAAAATGCTTGGTAGATCTTTGATTTGGGGAAAAGGGCAATCATCATAAAATTGCTTGAACCATGGAAATGAACTGGGAGATGAGGAAGTAATGAGCTTCTGAAGTGTACCAGAAGGACAGCAACAACACTGGTGGAATCCTAAGAGAAAAAAGAGGGAGCATCAATGAGAAAAGCTATTTGCATGATACCAGCCCTCACGACTACTATCAGACACATAAAATTAATTTTAGTGAAATGATTTTCACATTATGTGATTTTACTGGGGTTCAATAATAGATGTGCTTTCCAATACCCAGTATACAAGATATAGGAAGCACAAAGGTGTTTTTTTCCTAAAAATGTCATCTCAAAATTCATTCTAGGGTACTCTAAAAAAATATATTTTTATTGATTTTAGAGAGAAAGGTAGAGGGAGAGAGAGATAAAAACATCAATGATGAGGAAGAATCACTGATCTGTTGCCTTCTGCACGCCCCTTACTGGGGATCAAGCCTGCAACCTGGGCATGTGCCTTGACTGGGAATTAAACTGTGACCTCCTGGTTCATAGGTCCATGCTCAACCACTGAGCTATGCCGGCTGGGCAGGAAGCAGCTCTTAGATGGGTGAGCTTTGTGTTCTTGGGTAGGAGGCCATCTGGTAGGGCCATTGGAGGCCTTCTTCAGCCCACTTTCTCATCCTCTTTGGGATGAGTTAATTACCCATGGGTAGCTGCTGGCCCTCCGGACCCAGAAGCCCCTTGTAGCTAAGCCCTTTACAGAGCAGCAAGGTTGATGAGGCTTAGGGCCCTGAGAGTGGGCATGCCTCTCCATGGTCTCCCTGCCTGCCTGCCTTAAAGGCAGTGCTGATTCCTGACATCCTGACCCATGGTGGTAGAGCGAGGACAAAGAGTTATTTGGTTTTTCCCTCAGAAGTGGAGTATCTTTCTGAACACGAAAGCCACAGACTGGTAAAATACCTACCCCATCATAGAATGCAATGGAATTCATGTGATCCTTGGAAATGATGATGCTTCCATGATGACGGTGAGAAAACAGAAGGCCGCTAGAGAAGAAATACAATTTCCCTGGAAGGAAAACAGAGCTGGTCAGAGCTGGAGGGCTGGATCCTGGGGGCCAGATTCCAATGTCCTTCTTGTAGGTATGAGAGTTGTAACCACAGAACAGTGTCTGTATTGCTTCAGTTATATGTTTTTATTCTGAGCCCTGCACTCTGGAGAAGCCAATGTACCCTCTTAGAGTCTCAGAGATAAATGAGTCATTAGATATAATCTCTGCATGAGAATTAGAAAAAAAACAAGTTAGTAGGTTATCAGCTGATGGGGAGAGGCAAAATTCACATTTACATACAGGTGTCTTCCAAGGAAACACTCTAAAAAAGACTCAGTATGTCTGCTCCAGTACTGAGTTTATAGGTGCCCCTTTCTCCTATTTTGGCAGAAGCTGGTTCAGCTTTGAAGAGACCACATGCCTCACTTAAGGCCCAAGAAGGAGCAGCAGGGTCTCAGTTGAAGGACTAGTGAAGGGAGCCTAAGGGCCTGTTTCTAGCAAAGGAAGATTTGAGTTAGGCAATAACTTGGTTCTCAGACTCTGGAGGCCTGCTGTTCTGTTATTCACAAAAGCAAAATAGGTGAGATGTGAACAGTGGATATAGGTTCTTAAGTACAAGGATTCAGATCTAAGGAGAACTGCTGTTTCTGGGATGGCCAAGGTCATTCAGAAAGCTCAATATGGGCTCTATGCGGTAGACCACAGAAAGACGACAAGTGTTAAGGCTGGGCCTGAGCTTACTTTGAGACCCAAATGAAGCACTCAGAATACCCATAAGACCCCTGGGTGAAGTTGTTTTCTGGAGCTGGTCCAAGTTGGATTCTTCTGTTCCTATAACCGCCTTTCTTTCCCTGTTTTCACATATAGAGAAAAGAGAAAGTACTTCTTGGAGTTCAAGGCACAGGCTTGAGAACACTGTCATTTATATCTTATCTTAGTGATTCCTTGAGCTGTAGCTCTAGGAAAGTAGCCTCAAAACTCTGGAAGTTGTAATGATAAGAGCAAAGGCCAAAGTGAGGAATTTGGAGACTTCAAGTTTTTTTTTTGTTTGCTTGTGTGTTTTTTTGTTTTTTTAAAAATATATTTTATTGATATTTTACAGAGAGGCAGGAAGAGGGACAGAGAGCTAGAAACATCGATGAGAGAGAAACATTGATCAGCTGCCTCCTGCACGCCCCCCACCGGAGATGTGCCCACAGCCAAGGTACACGCCCTTGACCGGAATCGAACCTGGGACCCTTGAGTCTGCAGGCTGACGCTCTATCCACTGAGCCAAACCGGTCAGGGCTACTTGTGTTTTTTAAAAAAATATATTTTTATTGATTTCAGAGAGGAAGGGAGAGGGAGCGATAGAAACATCAATGATGGGAGAGAATCATTGATTGGCTGCCTGCACACCCCACACTGGGGATTGAGCCTGCAATCCGGCCATATGCTCTGACCAGAAATTGAACTGTGACCTCCTGGTTTATAGGTGGACACTCAACCACTGAGCTACGCCAGCCGGGCGTAGGGTTTCAGGGCAGAGAGGCCTGGTGAGTGTGTGTGTTTGTGCATGCATGTTAACAGGAATGGGGAGAAGTGGAGAAGATGGAGATAGTTTTTAGGTAAAAGAGGAAGGTTTGGAGCCTGCATATCAACGAAAGAACAAGATGATCAGCCAGAAAGAATTAATGCCAACCTTACCATCTGTGGCAGCAGCTGCCAGATACTAGCTGGCCCACTTCAAGGCATTCAGGTTCAAGCCCTGTAAGTCTCCCACCTCTAACAAGTAAAGCCTGACTTCCTTTGAACACAGCCTTGCCCCAGGGCCCTCTTGAGTAGTGGCTACCATGCCCCAGCCTCATCCTGCACCAACGCCAGGGTTCCTCACTGCTGCTCCCAGACCATTCCCCTCTATGCTGGCACAATACTTTCATTTCCTTCACTGCTCACATCTACTGCCCTCCTAATCAGTCCCCAACATTTCCAACAGCCTCTGAATGTGCTCTCAGACTTCTCTTCTAAAGCCAACACTCCCATTCCTTCTGAGAGATCAGGGGATGGCTCACAACATGTTCTGGCCTCACTGTTCCTCACTCCCAACTCCACAGCAATAAAGCAGCACCCAGAACATCTTAACCCCTGGAATTTTCAGCTCTATAGCCTACTCTCTGAATTAGCATCCCATTATCCTTTTAGTTATTCTTACTCCAAAAACCTCATCTTCTGATGTCACTGAGCCTTTAAAGCTTCCAGTCCTCCTATTGCTCAGAAATTTGTGTTCCTTTCATTCACATCCAAGGCAGATCCCCCAGAAAGGATCTGCTTTTAATCTCTGATTTTACTTTACTACATACCAAGCATGTCATATGCATTATAGTTTTCCATCTTCACATCAATTATAAGAGAAAGAATTCTTACAGGATTGATGGGGAAACTTAAGTTTAGAGAGATTTCCCCAGAAGTACTTGATGGTGGAGCCAGTATACAAAGCACAGTTTTGTTTGATGCCAATGCACTTTGGTTCTCTCACCCCTTTTCCTTTCACTTTTGCTCTTCCAAAGACCATGTGTGGCTAATATGATCATGGGCCCTCTCTGCTTCCTCAACCTCAACAAGCCCAGTCTTCCCAGCAGTCCATCCACTGCTGTTTCCCAACCCCTTCCACCAACTCCCCCAAGACCTTCAATACTCTCTGAACACCACAACCACACCAATTCTAACCACAAGATGTCTACCTACTGCTTACAGAGAAAAGAGAATCAAAAGGCATCAGGAGTTAGAAACTGCTCCCCTACCTACTGCTTAGTATCTGTACCCTTCCAGATCCTGGGCAAAGCTTCCACCTGTGTACCTCTAATGTGAAGTTTCTCAGAAACAAGTCCAGTACCACTCACTCCTGGACAAACCTCAAAATCCTCCTAAAGCTTCCAGAAAAGAGCAGATACGAGAATTTGCATATTCCAAGTATTCACTGGAAAGATAGGGAAAGAGGTAGACCAGGCAGGTCAGCACTTCTTCTCCCTCTAGACCAGTGGTTCTCAACCTTCTGGCCCTTTAAATACAGTTCCTCATGTTGTGACCCAACCATAAAATTATTTTCGTTGCTACTTCATAACTGTAATGTTGCTACTGTTATGAATCGTAATGTAAATATCTGATATGCAGGATGGTCTTAGGCAACCCCTGTGAAAGGGAATGACCGCCAAAGGGGTCACGACCCACAGGTTGAGAACTGCTGCTCTAGACTCTGAAGCCTCAAAACAAAATGGAAAAGAGGAAGACAGAAATTCACAAGACAGTGCTAAAAAAGCACTCACTATGGCTCCTGGCCCAGGGCAGAGACTCTGTAAACAAGAACTGGTTTTAGTACTGGTGCAGCTACGCCTCTGGCTCTGGGAGCAGTAGCCTTGTCATTATTCTCAGGGCACACATGAGATAACTGAAGTGACTCACTGGGTGGTCCAATGCCAGTGCCCTGGTTGGTCTCTTAGATCCTATTCCACTTTTTGTAATACCACTCTGGTATCTGCTCTGGCTTCGTGGCTGTCAGACTATGGTCTGAAGGGACATGCCTTTGTAGGGGTTTCTCAGTGACCACAGTAGCCAACTCCTGATGAGATCTTCCTGGCTCCTTGTCTCATCCCTGCTGCCCTGGATGGATGGGTTCTGTCATTCCTTCTCCACTCTGTGAATCTGAAACCCAAGTGAGAGAATGTTCCTCCTCACTACCCAGAGGCAGCCGGGGATGCAGCATGGTCCTGCCTTTGATTGACCTCTGCATTCCCAGGAATCCAACAGAAGAAGGAGGAGCCCTCAGGGCAAACAAAGACACCAAATGCCAATGAAGAATTTGGCTTTTCCTCCTTTGGACAACTGGCTGTACAAATAAAAATCCACTTATGGTCCAACCTGTGTGAAGAGGGAACATTTATCACTGTCAGGGAAATATTATGATGTAATGGCCGAGTAATTTTCATTCTCTGTGTGTGAGAGTGTGTGAAATATACACACATGGTTTAACAAAAAGAACCCAAACAACAAAACCCCACCACCTGTCCTTCTGTGACTTGCTTACTTTTCTCAATATCCAGCCAGGCTATAGGAACAGTACTACACAGTTGTACAGGGGTGGGCACAAGTAGGTTTACAGTTGTTCATATGGAAAATAATATAATAATTACCCTAACCGGTTTGGCTCAATGAATAGAGCGTCGGCCTGCGGACTCAAGGGTCCCAGGTTCGATTCCGGTCAAGGAGCACGTACCTTGGTTGCGGGCACATCCCTAGTGGGGAGTGTGCAGGAGGCAGCTGATCGGTGTTTCTCTCTCATCGATGTGTCTAACTCTCTATCCCTCTCCCTTCCTCTCTGTAAAAAATCAATAAACTATATTTTAAAAAATACAGTAATTAATAAATAATACAAGAATAAACTCTGTTTCATGTATTCACAACTATAAACCTACTTGTGCCCACCCCTGTATAATTCATTTATGTTCAGCACTGCAGAGAACATTCTTTTTTAAAGTATCCCTCAACAGCTTAATGTGGGCACAAGGGAACACATGAGATGGTGCAGAATGAAGGCAGCAGATAGCGGATGACCACTGCCTGGGTCTTCCCATCACAGGAAGGTGAAACTCAGCTTGGCCACCAGAGTTATCAGAATGTGTCAATGGCCCCACATGTCAATGGGACCAGAGCCCCTGTTCCTCATTGCTGAACAATCTCTGTCCAGCAGAAGAAAACACCCTAAAATCTCTAGAGCACTATAGGGAGCATGAAGGAGCACCCTGAGCGTCAACCAGCCACTGAGGTCAAGTGATATTAAACAAAGGTGCAAAGGCAACTCAAAAGAGAAAGGAGTCTTTTCAACAAATGGTCCTGGAAAAACTGGATATTGGTCCTGTAAAACAATGCAACAACCCGTACCTTGCACTGGATTTTCTGCCCATTTCCACCAGCCCAGTGGAAGACCTCATACTTCACAGGGACATCAGGTAGAGTACTCAGAAGGATTTTGCCTCAGGAGTGG